TGTTTATTTTAACAGTCACCAGTGTCTATTTTTAGGAGTAAAATACGAAATCCTCTTTGATATATTTTTAAAGTATACTTTCGTCCCCGTTATTTCAAAATGCAATGCTAACCTTTTAACTTTTTATTATCATAACTCCATAGTTATTTACAAATAAGAAAGTTCATATAATTACTCTCAAATAATTAAAAAACAAAAATACAATCTAACTTAATTAAAAATAATGAAAATATTTTTTTATTCAATGTTTATGGACTTAAAAATATAAAAAAGAGACACGTAATTTAATTAAACTATATATAAGTTTTTAAATGTTTTTTTTCTCTATTTTTTCCTTATTCTTTCCGTTTCTTTTGTTCTCTACTTGTGCTGTTGAAAAGCATAATAGTTATTTTTTTATGTATAATTTCTTAAAAGCCTTTTATAACTTGGTAAAACGACACCGTGTGGCAGGAGAAAGAAGCATTAAGAAGGAAAACGATGTCATTTCAATCATTACAAGGGTTCAACAATAAACTATGTGATTTGGTGTGCTGGGATTATTTACAAATTATAATAATAATAAATTAATGGTTTAAAATATGATGCAATAATAAATAAAAAATATAGTGAATATAAAAATTCATAATCATTTAAAAATAAATATTTTTAAAAGAATGTTACAAGCAGTAATTTTTTAGAGTGAAAATGCATTTTATCTTTATTATTTTAACCAAACTTCAATTTAGTGTTGCAATTATAATTGACGCTTGCAAAAAGAAATTATGATTGAAAATAATTATAATCAAAGGTATTTATTGTTTTTACTATTAAGGACGAATTTGTTATAATTAAAATAGTATTTTTTTTACTTTGCATTTACTATTAAAATTAATGATTACGATCAAATACAAATCAATTGTAATACTAATCAAACTTAAAACACCAAGTATAATGTTATAACAAATGATGCTGATTTGAACCTAAACCATTTTTGATTGTAAGAATTAGTTTATTAATAGATAGTAAAAAAAAAACACATATAAAAATTAAAAATGCATTAACAATGGTAACGACAAATAAAAGTATTGTCAGGAATAGTGAGCATCTTGCCCATATTTCATCCTGCAACCGTTGAAGCATTCGTCTATTGCGCAACCTCCCCCAAGGCCGAGTATATCACAACTGCCGATAGCATTTGCCATCATTGACTCGTTGCTTCTGCCAAATATTTTATCCATATATATATTTGTGGTGAAATTTATATATAAATTTAAAATTTTCAAAAACCTATTTTTCATTGTTGAGAGAAGATATTGTCTAGAAAAGATACAAATATGCTTTAAAAGTTAAGCCTATTATAGGGTTTTTCTGTAATTTTAGTAGTATATACATATTCTGTCATGAAGAAGAGAGATAATGTCAATCATCTAAAACAATAAAATATCAATATCAATGTCCACAGAGCATGGGAAAGATAAGAAAAATGGGACAAACAGACAGATCATTACATGCCTTACCCTAACTAGATCTTAAATTCTTTATTCACTAGCACTGAAAATTAATATGTTCTAGATCACTTGGACGCAAACAAATATCCCATTTCAAGTGAATAACCGCATAAAGCAGAAAAATAATAACAATAAATCACTGTTAGAGGCATCTTCACATATCATCTTGACCGATGGTAATAGTAATTAGTGGCGAAAGTACAACACCAAAGGCATAACCTACCTGGGCAATGTAGCCAGATGATCCAGCGACTGCTGACATGGACTTAGATTGGGGCATGTCAATCACTTTCGCCAAACCAAAATCACCAACATGGGCTTCCAAATTTTCATCATGTAAGATATCACTGGACGGTGAACGATCCTAGGTTTGCAGTCATGATGTAAATAATAAGCAAGACCTTCAGCAAGTAGGGCATTCTAAGCTACAGGAGGCCCCATGAAGTACTTCACCAAGCTATCGTTTTCCCATGTATTCATAAAGAAGCGGATTGGAACCTTGGTGATAGCAAAAACCATAACGCTTCACAATATTTGGATGCCTAATATTTCCTAGTGTTAGAATTTCAGCCCGAAAACTATTCTCAATGTTGTTGCACTTTGCATTTGATGCGCGCCTTTTAACTTCATAACCACCCATATATTTTTATTTTCTGTTATTTAATCTTTACATATTACAGACATATATAATATATAATGTATCAAGTTTATTCCAAGTATCGTTGACTCAGTAATTTCTTTTTATATTTTCATTATGTATTCCTTTATAATTTCATTAATTTTGAATAGCTCTCTCAAAATTTTAAGGTTTTCTTTTTAAAAATTTTTGGGCCAATAGCACCACCAAGGAAGTGTCCCCTATCCATTAGGTAGTTGGCATAGACGTAAAGTTTCATTCTTATACTATAAGGAAATTACTTCATCTTCTAGCCTATAAATTAAATGGAATAAAAAAAATCTTCACTTCATTAAAATATAAATAACAGTCTAATAAAAGTGTAACCTGCTTAGCTATTAACGTTAATCAAGTCAACTTGAAAATTCAAGTGCCACCAAACTCAGCTAATTTTTTTTTTACTCTCCATGCATGTAAGGTTACACTATATTCGCTCTCCATATTATATATATATATATATATATTGGAAAATATGTCACATTTACCTTTATGCATACATGTATGTAAGGGTGCTCAAGACTAGGTTTAGAACAAAACCAAAAATATGGTAGGCCCAAGAAAAGGCAAAAGGGCCACAACCCATGATGAATCTGAAAATGGAAATGGGGTGTAATACAAATTTAAAAATTTTAAAGGAAAGAACTTATTTTTTGGATTTAAGTTTTAATGTTCTTCGTTAAAATTGATCGAATAAAAAAATTAAAATGTTAAATAAAAATAGATTGATAAAATTTGATGAAAAAATTAATCATATAAAAACTTTTAATTAAAATTACAACTACGTGTAAAATTTGAGTGATGTTTATTGGACAGTAAAAATTTTATCAGAATTTTTAATAAAATATCTATTTTAATAAAATATCAAAATATATAGAAATTATTTGAAATTTTGTTTACTCCATCTTCAATTTAATTTTTAATAATAGACTTCAGGAATTTGATTAATGAAACTTTAAGTCTTGCTAATTAGGTAATTCCAATACCGCGACTCCACGTTAAAGGACAATTAAAGCATTGCAGTAACTGAAGAATCAATGTGAAATATTAATTGGCACAGCCTAGATGCCTGACCTGTCACGCCTAAACAGCAAACAACAGCGCAATATGAAAATTATTCTATTAATTGTTAATTCACTCTTTCACCCTCATTTCATTGCTTTAAGAGCAGTGTCCTTATTCACAGAATTAAACATTGATCTTCTCACCAAAAAGAAAAAAAATGGCTGATTCTGTTAAGATTTTGCCTCTCCTTTTACTTTCATTTTGTTGCATCTATCCCATAGCAGCAGCCATAGAGGCCATAACGGTTACTATTCACATTATAATTGAGTTGCCTCCAAGTTCAGGGATTACCAGGGTTGATTGCATTGGGGAGGAGTGGAAGCTAAAGCCAGGGGAACACTTTCAAATTACGCGGTGGCCAGATAGGCAGTACATATGCATAGCTGAGAACGGTAGCAAGAAGGGCTCTTGGCTTGCTTTTGACCCTCTCAGAGATGTGCTTCGTAGAGATGTCTTCTCGTCAGTGAGAGAGGATGGGTTCTATTTTAGGTATGATCAGTCTATTTGGATGAAAATCAATGGCTGGGAAAATTAGCAATAGCATTGTCACTTGTTATAGCTAAGGAATGTTACTTTTTATTTTCTAAGTTTACCATGAATAAATGATGAGAACATCAATATTGTCTTTGTCATGAGCGATCTTCCTCTATTGACCATTGATATATTGTATGGTAGATCCAATTGTTAATTTATCTCTTCTATGTAAAGCTTAAAAAACTCTTAAAAAGCCATTAAAGCACTGAAGTTGCTTCAAAAAGTACTTTAAAATCGACAAAATCATGCATATCATTTGTAGATTGTGCGAAGTAGAATGGGAATAAAGAAAGAATCACGAGGGCATGCCCAGCTACCGACTAATGCTGTAGGATCCACTATCTAAATGCACAATCTATAATCTTAACCATTCATTTGAGGGGTAAGCGGTGAAGCACTACACAAGAGAGACATTTATAAATTGTATGATTGACAGTTTTGGATATCTTACAGACATGATGATGATGGATTCTTTCTGGTGGTAGATGCCAGGTCCCATGCTTCTGCTTCCCCTTTCATTTTTGTTGACTGATTTAATTGCTACTTGGATTCTTCTGGAATGTACTAAAAACAAAACAATATATGCATGCACATGATTACAAAAGATGCTAATAAATTGATAAAAAAAATTCTAGATTATATATAAACTGATAAGAGAAACCTTTAGATCCGTGAAGCAAGACCTTCACAAAATTGAAATTAAGTCTTTGATATGCTTGGCTTATAAGATCACTAGCTAGTCATACGTCGCCAGATTTTATCTTTTATTGATCTTAAACGTCAAGATATAACTCGTGGTCCTGAAAATCGGTGATATTGTCTAATTATATAGCTATTAATTGAGGTCAAAATTACTAATACAAGCTTCCCCCTTCCTTTCACAAGTGATTGCTGGTAGTCTGCAGTGATTGTAGGCGATGGTCTGATCAATCATAAATCATGCAATTAAGAAATTATTCCCAACTTTAAAAGGAATATTTGATTTTCATCAAGGATAATTTAAAATTTTAAAAGCTAATCCATTAACTGGGGACAGTTCTAAAATGATTGTTTTGAGGTGAAGCAGTACCAATAATTTTGAGGTTTTGTGCTGGTTCGCAAAGTCATTGACCACCTACTTTTAGTTGCTGTATTTTGACTTCCATTGCTATATCTCTCCACTATAATCGGAAAGCTGTCCATTCCATCCTTGTGCATGTATTTTCTATCACTTATAAAAGGGAGAGAAGAAGGGAAAAGAAATCGTTGACAACAAACATTTCTAGCTGACATGGTTGCTCGGAGCCATTTTGTTCTGTTTCTTGTTTCGGTATTCATTTTGAGTGTAGCAGGGCTTGGACAACATGACAAGGATCTGGCAACGGTTCATGTAATCAATGCCATGCCAAGGGACTCAGGGCCGATGCAAATCCGCTGCAGTTCCAAGTATACAGATCATGGGATGCGAGAGCTTCATGTAGGGGATGATTATCAATGTGGTGTCAGGGAACAAGCCTTGTATTACTGTGAAGCCATTTCGGGAAGGCAAATAGCATCCTGGCATGCGTTTCAGCCTCGCAGAGATAAGAATCACAAGGCAGTTTTCTGGCTGGTGAAGGAGGATGGGTTCTATCTTAGTTGGGATAATTCTAGCTGGGTCAGAAAATCTGGATGGTACACTGAGTGAAATTTAGCATGTATTTCATTTCTTTTCTGCTCTTTGTTTGTTCAGAATCATCGTAACTCTGAGCCAATTGATAAGAATTGTTTCTGTTATTGCTTCTGATGAATTCTGGATTAAAATAAATCTTCCATGTTTCCCTAAAATCTTCTATCAATGGTCACATGTTTACATCAAAATGATTCCTTAAATTTGCAGATATCTGAGCAGCTTTTTTGTTTTGAAAGTCATCTGAGCCGATTTGATGGCCATGAAAGTGATTCCCGTGCACATTAATTCTTTCTTTATTATGTTTAACCAGATTGACATATATATATATATTTATATATATATGGGTTTGTTAAGGAGTGATTTTAGAATACTCTCTTTATAATAATATTTTTGTATGAAATAGAATAGTTAGCCGTTAAAGTAATGATTTTCAATGTATTGAAAAAAATTTTATATAGTAATTATAGTGTGCGTAGTCATTAAGAAAACCTCAAATTTATATAAAATCATTGACTTCAATTAACTATAGTTGCACGAGGCATGTGAAGTTCTCACCCAATTCCAGTTGGGTGGTATGTCATGCATGTGAAGCTTGTAAATTCCCTTTGATAAACTGATACCCTTTCTTGGGAAAACAGTTAAATTCTTCCCACCATGGCTTCATTAGGTGACAAAAGAACGTGGAAATAAAGAATAGATCTGGCAAAGTTCTTCAGGAAGTTTTGGTAATGTCGGGAAGTGGTTTGGCAAAACAAACATGACGGTTTTCCAGTCCTCTACAGTGAAGGGAACGCCCTTTCTGGGGGCTCTTCTGCTGGGCGTGAATGGTCTGTCTCTCTTGAGCAGCAGGCCTTCGATTCAAAAGAACCTTTTTCTCATAATTAAGCAGCATTAATTGTGCATTTGCGTTAAATGCTCATAATGTTAACAATATTTATTTTAATTTTTTTTAAAATTTTTACCTTTATATACATTTTATGGTTCATTGATGTATAAATACTGTGCGCTTACAATATATTAATTATAAATTCATATTAATTAATTCTGTTTCCTTCTTCGAATTAGGACCTTTTAGTGCAACCCATTTGGGAATAATATTTTAATTGATTTTAGATCTTTTAAAATTTGCATTAATTGTATACACAACAGCATTGTTTCTTTTTTTTGTGTGTATAATATTCCAGTCATTTTACATATCCTATTTGGAAAGAATATTTTATTTAAATTACGTACCTTATAAAGGCCTTCCTAAATAGAGAAAATATTAATAAGAATTAATATCAATTAAATTTGACAACTGTCATATACATAAGTTTTCCTGGCTTACATAAACAAGAAAATTAATGAATTTATTGCATTAGTGCTTTTATATAGAAAGTCTATTCTAACTATAAATGCAAAAGTGGTTTATCATGTACCAAAAAAAGAGTGGCTTTAGTTATATAAGCTTCAAAATCATATAAAAATCAACAATCACATTGTCACACCATGGCTAACTTCAAAGAACTGCTCTTGCCTATGCTGGCGCTTTGCATTTTGTATCCATTGGCATATGCAGTCAATGAAGATCTTTTGTTTATCAAATACCATATTCACATAACCAACGATATGCCTCCGGATTTCCCTCCCTATATCCCTGCTTTATCTCTCCATTGCAAGTCCAAAGACGAGGACCTTGGTGAGAAGGAACTGTCGGAGCATCAGGATTATACTTGGAATTCCAGTATAAACGATTTCAGAACCACCCTTTATTTCTGCAATGCTAGATGGGAAAAAAAGCAGAGGTATTTTGTGGCTTTCAAGGCCACGAGAGATGAACACCGCTGCCGAGTGTATCATAACTCTTGCCTGTGGTCAGTGAGGGGAGACGGAATTTATTTTAGCAACAATAATTCTACCTGGACTAATGAGTATCCATGGTAGTGAAAGAGATTGTACGCAAAACGATTTTCAGCTTTTCCCTGTGAGGATAAATTGGAATTAATAAATGCTAATCCTTTTTTAATTGAATCCCTTTGTTTTCTATGCGTAGCTCCATGTCATCATTATGCTTATTTATTTCAAGTGATTTTTTATCAGAGATAGGATAAGTTCATATGAATGTGGTGTTTTTTGGTAAATTGTTTTGAAAAAAATGCTCCTCCCCTTCTGGTGTTTTGGTTTTTGGGTTGAAGGTTTTTATAATCAGAGGATTAAGCTTGCAAAATTTTTTCAGATTTACTTTGAACTTTTGGGAAGCTTGTTGCAGATGACAACATTGTTGCAAATCAATCAAATTTAAAGGGTAATTTTATTTGCAGATAAATAAGAGAAAAAAAATAAGATAAAATTTTCAGTTGGGATCTGAATTATATAATAAGATCATCAAAATTGACCTTACTATAAGGTTAATAAATTAAGATCATTAGATATTTAATTACAAATATTAACCATTGTTTAAATTTAAATTTGTAATTTGTAAACTTAAATATTCAATAATTACTTATGAATTGATTAAGAAATTAATTTTGACTTTATAGCAGGATCTATTCTGATAATCTTATTATAGAATTTAGAACCCAATTGAATATTTTATCTTAGTTTTTTTTCCTTATTTTTCTCCAAATAAAAATTATGTTTTAAATTTGTTTCATTTTCATAGTTGATTTTCATTAAGTTTGTACGTTTTAAAATAAGAAGAGTTAAAGTGTACTTTAAAAGTGTATGGAGGAGTTTTGTATTTACACTTTTCAATAAATATAATTGTCTGTTATCAATGGACAAAATACAACTATTTGTTCGAACACGTGTCTGTTAGAAATAATATTTGCTTAAATTACCTTATAAAGGCTTTCCTAAGAAGAGAAATATTAAGACGAATTAATGTTAAATAAATTTGACAACTCTCATGTACATAATTTTTCCCAGCAAAGACAAACAAGAAAAGTAATGTCTTTATTGCATAGGACAAATCCTGGTACTGTTTCAATCCATAAATGGGAAAGTGGCTTAGTTTGTACCGAAAAGAAGTGGCTTTAGTTACATAAGCTTCAATGTTATATAGAAATCAACAACCACCCACATTTTCAGAACAACAACATGGCTAACCTCAAAGAATTGTTCTTGCCCATGCTGGCACTTTGCATTATGTGCCCATTGGCGTTTGCAATCGATGAAGATCTTTTGGTTGTCGAATACCATATTCACATAATCAACGATTTGCCTTCCGATTTGCCTCCCAATATCCCTGCGCTATCTCTCCATTGCAAGTCCAAAGACAAGGACCTTGGTGAGAAGAACATGTTGGAGCATCAGGATTACACCTGGGATTCCAGAATAAACCTTCTCAGAACCACCCTTTTTTTCTGCAATGCTAGATGGGAAGGAAAGCAGAGGTATTTTGAGGCTTTCAAGGCTACGAGAGATGAACACCGCTGCCGAGTGTATCATAACTCTTGCTTGTGGTCAATGAGGCATGATGGGATTTATTTTAGCAACGATAATTCTTCTTGGACTAATGAGTATCCATGGTAGCGAAAGAGAGTGTAAAATGAATTTCAGCTTTTCCCTGTGAGGATAATTTGGAATTAATAAATGCTAATCCTTTTTTAATTGAATCCCTTTGTTTTCCATGCGTAGTTTCATGTCTTACAGCTTTTGGTCAAGCTTTCACTATTAGTATTAGTATTTGGAGTTGCTTTTATATACGTTTCATCCTTTTTGTAGGAACCATTTTGTTGCAGCGCAGTGCAATATATCAAAGAGTTGAGAAAAGAAGTATGAGAATTTTTCAAATGTTCCTCATTTTGAGTTTAGACAAAAAGGGGATTCAAATTTAATTTTTTGAATAGGAGATACATATACTTAAACCATATATCAATTTTTCTTTTCCTTTTTTTTCCTTGCATGACTGAGGAATTTATAATATTGACTTTGGGCACAAATGCAAATTTTGTCAAGGTACGTACATGGTATAGAGTATGGTAAGGAAAATTTTAGAGAACTATATTTTAAAAAAAAATTTCCATCAAATATATTGTTGATTGCAAAAGATAACAAATTTTCTATATATTGATTAAAGATGGTAAAATTTTCAAGATATTTCAGGGAACTAAGGTAATAGGGGTGTTTCTAATGCTTGGGTTCTTGATGAAGGGCTATTTGTTTGAACTCCTTTTTGTTTAGCCTGAATTCTTATTAATTTCTCTTTGTTATCTTGGGATGAATAACTTTTTTTATTTTAAAAAAATACTTTAAAAAATTTATAATTATTCAAGAAAACTTAAATAAATTTTTATTTTTTCATTATATTCAATTAAGTCTATATACTTTTATTTTGAGTCAAATAAACCCTTATAACTACCAATTGATTAATTATCATTAGTCAAAATGTCACTTTATTATTTTATAATTTTTTTTGAAAGATAGGTTCTTTGTATTAATTTTCAAGATATATATTTATCATTTTATACCTACATAAAAATTGAAAAAATGACATTTAACTATGTTATCATGCTACATTAGCACAACACGTCACTATTCACTATGATATGTTAGTATGCCATATGGCATAAAAAATAATAAATGATGTTTTGACTAAAAATAATTAACCAACCATTAATTATAAGAATTTATTTGACTTAAAATAAAAATTTAGAGATTATATTGAATGTAATAAAAGAATAAAAACGTATTTGAATAAAACACCAACTTAAAAAAATATATTTAAATTTTTTTAAATAATTTAACAAAATTTGTAAGTACTATTAAAAAAGTTTCATACACAAGATTCTTGAATAAAACATTTTTTAACCACGTTAGATGTTTCATTGATTTGATTTATTAACCCTTTCCTCAATTTCTCTTCTCTCTTTCTCTCTCTCTCTCATAGTTTCAAATTTCATGTTAAGCATAGTTTATTCATCACCTAAAGTTAGCTATCCTCTAAAATTGAACCAAAATGTGCAAAAGCGAAATGGTAGTACTGATAATTAACACATACGTCAATGTGATAATGTCGATATATGTGAGACTCGTAGATCATTGTTGATTCCATGGATTAACTTTTCCTTCATCCACAAATTAATTGTGCTAGCTGTGACCCACCATTGCTAAGATCATGATATACGTAAGCTAGCTGTGACCCACCATTGCCAAGCTCATATTATACATAAGCTAGCTGTGACCCATCATTGCCAAGATCATGATATACATAAATCAGCTGTGACTTAAGTTAACACTATGATTTAAGCAATTCCGCCCTTTTTCCTTATTTGTATAAGTAAAGCTCCTATATTTGCTTCTCTCTTAACTTAATACAGACATATATAGATTGAACAGCACAACTTTTGACATATAATTATAGGAGGCATAATTCATTGCCCTATCAAACTTAAGCAAATGCTAATTTCAATTTTTTCTTTTACAAGAACATGACAGCTTATGTTATAAAGACATTCTCTCAAAATGGCAAGTCCAATTGATACTAAGATCAATCTGTTCATTTCCAATGATCCATCATCTATAAAGCAAGAAAGGTATCATACAAACTCTCCACCAAAAAAACAAATACTTAGATTATTATATCATGGATTGTTTTACCAGACTTTTCTCGTCGCTGATCTTGCTTCTGCTCCTAGTGGCATGGTGTGACGCAGGACTTCTTCCACACAAAGTCCATGTCCAAATCACTAACGATATAGGCAAAGGCTCGGACCTTACGGTACATTGCAAATCGAAAAACGATGATCTCGGAAAACAGGTTATTTCCTATCAAGGCACCTGGGAATTTCATTTCCGACCTAATGTTTGGGGCACGACGCAGTTCTACTGCAGCATGGCATGGGAAGATCAATTCCATTGGTTCGACATATTCGTGGCCAACAGAGATTATTTGTATTGCCATGTTTGTCGATGGAGTATAAACCCAGCTGGTCCATGTAGGTTCAATTATGATACTGAAAAGTTTGATACTTGTTTTAAGTGGAACGCTAATTAGAGCTGCTGCACTTAATGATAGTCACATGTTTTTCATTGCGAGGAGTAAAGCCATATTTTTGTGCTGTTTTGATTTGGTTATATGCGTGTCGACCAGGCTTAGTGCCCGTGCATCGAACTGTTGATTTGTATTACTTTTCAACAATTCATTAAAAAGAAATGATTATATATTTTTTATTGCATATCATAGCCAGAACATTTTTTGCTTGCTTGAAGCAAGAAAAGTTTAGTCATTTTTTTCTATGGAAAAATCTAATAATTTTAGAAAACACGATAACATTACAATTAAATTCAATTTTGAGCAACACGGATAAAATGATGGAAGAGAATACATATTAACAGTCAATCATAATAAATTAAAGTAAAATGAAAGTTTTTTAATTTAATTTGGGAAAGGGGATATATGTACTAATACCCTATTTTCACTAAATAAATTTTTCCTTTTTTTAAAAGCAAAATTAAAGAGTTTAGATCTTGTGTTGTTGAGATATCAACCTCTGACGGGCTTCATGTTCCGTAGATAAGGAGAAGCCGATCCACAAATGTTTCATTTACTATAGCATTTAGGCATGAACAGTAGATGCTACAGAGCTTTATGAAAGTCCTAGCAGTTTCAGTCATAATAGAAATTTAGAGTTCTGTTCTCAAAATTCCAAGCAAGAAAAGAGAAGTTTGAAATTATTGTAGCAGAGCTACACTTACAAGTTGATAACATAAACTAAAATAAAGTTGCTAGCTAGGAGAGATTGTCTACCAAAAAGTAGTAGCAAGGGTTTATTATGCTTTTTTCTATGTAATAAAACCAAGTCTGTCTCCAATAAGGATTTATGTATAAAACTAGAGCAAAACTCAGCAGAATGATTATGTCAGTCACAACGAAACTCACTCTGAAGCTCTTCATGTCAATTGAAGTTTCTGGTTTGATCACTAATGGTCCTAGACTAGCTGAGCAAGCTTTTGGCAACGGCATTTCATAAAGAAAAGGATTACCCTTATAGGATGGATTTCCAATAAAGCTGCAGGAATTCATTTTCTTAAACAGAGGTATGGCAGGTAAAGGTCGGGTTAACTTATTGTATGAGAAGTTTAATTCCACCAAACTTAACAGGCTTTCAAATGTTGTCGGGATCTTACCACTCAAATGATTGTTATTCAGTAGGAGGACTTCAAGCAAAGCAAGTTTCCCAAGCTCCAATGGTATACTGCCAGTGAGATTGTTAAAGCTGAGGTTCATTGCAATCTGCAAGCTCGAAAGAAAACCCAACTCTGGAGGTATCTCACCAGAAAATACATTGCCACCCATCTGCAGCTCAATCAAACGAGAAAGGCTTCCTAAAGATGCAGGAATATTTCCACAGAATTTATTTTCTGATAGTTTTAAAAGCTCAAGCTGGGAAAGGGTTCCAAGCTCATTTGGCAAGGAATCTACAAAACTGTTGTGGCTGAGATCGAGTCGTTGAAGCATCTTGCAGTTAACAATCTCTGATGGAATCTGCCCTTTCAGCAAATTAGACGAGACATTTAAAAGCATGAGTTGAGATAGTTTACCAATTTCCTTTGGCAACATAGAAGTGAAGTGATTGCCAGCAATTTGAAGCCATTGAAGCTTTCTGCAATTTCCAATCTCTGGTGGAATTGGCCCAGTGAAATTGTTGTCATCCAATCTGATAGAGTAAAGATTCACCAGATTGCCTACTTCTGAAGGTAAAGTACCTGAGAGCCTGTTTCCATTTAGATTAAATCTTCTTAATCTCTTGCAGTTCTTGATCCCAGTTGGGATATTTCCGTGCAGCTTATTACCCCCAAGGCTTAAGAAAACAAGGTTAGCAAGCCGAAAAAGATAAGGTGGTATTTTTCCTGTCAGATGGTTGTTAGTAAAATCAACCTCCGAAAATGGGCTGTATACTCCAAGCTGCTGAGGAATGGTACCGCTCAGAGAATTGCCAGAAAGCTGCAACTGAAGCATTCCAGTCAAATATTGGAAACCATGAGGAATGGGACACGTGAGATAATTTCTTGAAAGGTCAAGAAATGTCAAGTTCCTCAAGCTGCTAAGCTCGTTTGGTATGACTCCTCTAATCTGGTTCTGCGATAGGCCCAATAAGGATAGACCCTTAATCTTGCTGAACTCAGTTGGGATCTCACCTGTCAAATAATTCTCTGAGAAATCAATTTCTGTTGCAAGGGGGAGATTCTCTATCTGCTTTGGAATGCTTCCATGCAATTCATTGATGTAGATGTACAACTTCTTCAGCAACTTGAGTTTTCCAATCTCCATGGGTGTCTGCCCCACAAGGCCATTTGCTTTCAAAACAAGGGTCTGCAGGTTCGAACAATTTCCTTTGGAATAAACTCTGTTAACTGATTATTCCATAACCATAAATCAGTCAAGTTTTTCAGCATTCCGATTTCCTTGGGCAGTTCCCCACCAATATGGTTTAGGGCAAGGCCAAGAAATTGTAAGCTCTGACATTCACTTATTTCTGCTGGAATTTCACCAGAAATTGCATTGTCACCTGCTCTGACAATTCTCAATTTCCGGAGATTCCCAATACAACTAGGCAATGATCCAGTCAAATTATTGATGTATGCCACAAACTTATCAAGTGAAGAGAAATCTCCAAGCTCCTCCCGAAGAGAACCAGAGAGTTAGTTATTGCATATATTCAAACTTCTCAAATAAGAGAGCTTACATAATTCACCGGGGATTGGACCACTGAACTGATTATTTTTCAAATGAAGGAATTCAAGAAGTGAACAATTTCCAATTTCCTTTGGAATATGTCCCAGGAGCTCATTATAAGACAGATCAAGATATGATAGGTGGGTCAGGCCACCAATAGTAGGACTCAAGGTTCCAGAAAGATTCATAGAATTCAAATCAACAGGCCATACCAGCGGCTCGTAGTCTGAAGTGCAATTGACGCCTATCCACCTGCATGGTCTCATCAGTGGGCTTCCAGTTTCGAAGATGGTTGAATTCATCGTGAATACTCTTCTTCAACTCTAACAGGTATGTTCCCTCAGAATTCAGCGCCTCTGAAACGCTAAAGAATAGTGTCGCAACAAGTAACAACTGCACCAACCTACCTCCAAAGAGACTCCTTGGTTCGAAATTGCTCAAAATTTTGATTTAAGTACTAAAGAAGAAAACGAATGCAGATTTTGTGATTCTTGATTCAATGCTCTATACTTAAAAGGAAAAGAAAAACGTTTGTTCAAAATCCATTGATCATTTGAATATATATTTTCTTTGATTTATTGACTTGACAGAATCTATTCTGTCAACCTCCCTTATTAGATACGGTCGTATGGTAGAGGAACCCAATTCTACTAAGACTATCGTATTTCATCAGTGCTGTTAATCATCGAAGCTCTGCATTGGAATTTCGCACCAACCAGGCGCATTAGTAATTAATCAATGAATTAATGATGAGGAATTCAAGTTTATTCATAATGATAAATCAAAGCATTCACATGTTCCACACGGTATTGCAGAATAAAACCAAAATATTCATCATTTTAACATGGAATTATTTTGAAAAGAATGCACCCACATAGCATTCTCTAAAAGAAGAAAAAGACATTCATGAGTCTCCAAGAATATTTGTTGAAAGGTTCCCTGGTCCAAAAGATATGATTTTAATAATTAGAACACGATTAACGACTAAGGATATTCAAGATTATTTTAACAAGACCTTGGCCTTGGTCCAGTGTTTAAGATTAAAATCTTCTTCTTTTGCCAAATTTTCCTGTAGGGAACTAAATAGCGTGTGAATGAAGGCTATTACTATTATTTTTCCCAAACCAAATTCACAACTCCCAGTAGCACCACCATGTAAGGACAAAAGAAAAAGCACAAAGATAAAGAGAGATGTTGGCTGGGCGACCATAAAAGTTAGGGCTTCCAAGGTCTTGAGGAGTTTTCAGAGTTAATGTGGAAGATTTAATTGGTGGGATACTGAATATATACTCAAGAGGCCCTGGGCATTGCTGCTGTGAGATAGTTAGCTGCTTGCCAATTATTATGGTTATGACACAAATGTGCAGATTGAAGTCGATGCTAAAGCTGTAATAAAACGTGGTAAAGAATTAGTAGTACCCAATTCACCAGGAATTGCACCACTGAACTGAGTATCGTTCCAAAATTAAAATAAAGAAAAAATTTTTAACATAACCATAAATTACACTACGATTTTTCACATTTATGAGTAGCACAAATTTGGAGACGGGGGAGAACTACGTCTCATAATTATAGATTAACATGGAATCAGAAAATTTGAGAAACAAAGAGTTTTATTTTTAAAAAATTACTTTGTGTTTTTTTTTTTTGGAAAATAAAATTACTTTGAGTTATACATTAAAGGGGGAACTGGGCTTCTCATATTGTCTTTGATTTACCCGAATGTTTTATGACTGTTTCTCATATTCTCTTGCACCAAAATGGGCTTCTCGGTTAAGTCATTTTTGTAGTAGGATTGTGTTTCTCTTTGCTATTTTTTATGTAGTGGCATTTTAGTTTCAGGTGTTTGAATCATGATGGGTAACACTCAGCTCTACTCTTACACTGTAAATTTCAGTGATATATATATATATATATATATATTAAATAAATCTTACTTTTGGCAGAGAAAAAAAATTAAAATAAAAGAGGGAACTGAATAGATAGAAGTTCAAAATTAAATGAACATTAGACTCACTAAAGAATCACCAAATGTGAGCCAAAATAATAGCTGCATTAAATTGCCAATCAGATTCCCTCGTGTGATTCCAAGAACAGACTGCTTTCTTTAAAGCATTTTCATCTTTATTTGCTATCACATTAAATGACTACTATAATTGGATACTATATATGGCTAATAACCCTGAATCTGACTCTGTCATATATCAACTGAAAGCCCATTTTACTGCCATATAATTTAGCCATTTCTGCTAGCCAACAGAAAGCGGTTTACTCGCAAACATGAATCCTTCAACTACAAACCTCTTGCTGATCATGAGGTTGCTGCCTCTAACATTGCTTTTCATCGCGAGCGTAGCCCGTTTCAAGGTACCCATAGCAGATGTAGTAATCTCTAATGATTTGAACGCAGGCTTAGACCTCACCATCGTTTGCAAATCCAAGAACTATGACCTCGGCGTGCAACTTCTTCCTTACCACAACGACTTCGAGTTCAAGTTCCAGCCGAATTTCAGGGGCACGACGCAGTATTACTGCAGCAAGCAATGGAAAGGAGCCTTCCATTGGTTCGATATTTACATACCAAACAGGGATAGCCCCCTTTGTAATCGTTGCTTGTGGAATGTAAGGCCAAATGTTCACTGAATGTTTAATTATAAAACTTCCAAATACGGTATCTGCTACCCTTGGAACATAGATTCTTAATCACATCAGTATTCGCAATAAAGATTTACCTCATGAAATAAAGGCGCAAATCATGTTGATTGTGTGCTCTGAAATTTCTGGCTGATCATGTTTATAATAATTTATTGAATTTTCTTTTTTGAAAAACGTATGGCTAATGTCAATTATCTGTCTATATGCCTTATAGAAAATTTAAGTCATCGAGTTTGCTTGGTACAGATGTGCAGAAAAATTTAACTATTATAAGTTAAAACGCATGGATTTTTCAGCCGATTACCTTCCAATATAAGTAGTAGCATCCTGCTTTAAAAGCAGGTGTTATCGATTTGCTACTTCCTATAAGTTATTACCTGAAACAGAAGTTAGCCTAAAAGGTTCTACAAAATGTTTCCTGTTCCTTAATATGCTTTGCACCACTTGTGAAGCTATTGATTTGATTTTCAAGCCCCTTTGTATGGAAAAAGCATATAATTCTACTCCAAAAAAAGGTTTAAAAAAAAAGGAAAAATTGGGGAAGAAGAAGAAGAAATTTGCTCTGTGTTATGGAAAATTTCTCAAGAAAAAATCTAGATTCAAACATAATACAACGTTCAAGTGAATCATAATCTTAGTAGATCAGGCCTCCTCTAAATTCCAAACAACAAAGGAAACTCTGAATTTATTTCATAAGGGCAGCATAATATGATCGTTATGTATTTTTAAAAAAAAGTAATATTATTTTTTAAAAAAGATAATTTTATTAGTTTCAACAACGAATAAATTTCATTGAAAATCTAAAATTGTAATGATTGTTACATATTATAAACCAAAATTGTTAGGTTACAGATGATTCAAGAAAAATATGTACTTTTAGATGGTGGGTTACGCTTTTTGATAACTCTCATCAGTTATAAAATTCTTTTGCCTACTAAAAAGAAAAAATTGTGTGTCAGGAAATAGTGGCAATAGTTAATACCCATGTCTATAATAAAACCAAGCCTGTCTCCAGTAAGGATTTATGTACAAAACTGCAGGAAAAGCCAACAGAATGATTATGTAAGTCACAACGAAACTGACTTTGAAGGTCTTCATGTCAATTGAAGTTTCTGGGGCCAACACCGGTTGTCCTCCAACAGCAGAGCAAGCTTTGTCAGTGGCACTGGATAAAGAAGATGATTTCCCTTATATGGTGGATTTGCGAAAATGCTGCAGGAATTCATGTTCTTAAACATCGGTATGGCGGGTAAAGACTCGCTTAAGTTATTGTATGAGAAGTTGAATTCCTCTAAACTTAACAGGTCTTGAAATGTTGTAGGAATCTCACCACTCAAATGGTTGTTATTGAGCAGGAGGACTTCAAGCGAAGAAAGTTTCCCGAGCTCCGATGGTATATCGCCGGTGAGATTGTTGTAGCTGAGGTTCATCGCAATTTGCAAGCTTGAAAGAAAACCCAACTCTCGAGGTATCTCTCCAGAAAATAGATTACCGCCCATCTGCAGCTCAATTAAACGAGAAAGGCTTCCTAAAGATGCAGGAATATGTCCAGAAAATTTATTTCTGAAAGTTTCAGAAGCTCAAGCTGTGAAAGGGTTCCAAGCTCATTTGGCAAAGTATCTGAAAATCGGTTATGACTGAGATCCAGTCGTTGAAGCGTATTGCAATGAACAATCTCGAGTGGAATCCTTTGAGCGAATTGGACGAGACATTAAAAATTACGAGTTGAGACAATTTGCGTATTTCCTTAGGCAGCTCGGATGTGAAGCGATTTTCTGCAACTGGAGTCGTGGAAGCGTTGTACAATTGCCTATCTCTACAGGAACTGGTCCTGTAAAATTGTTCCTGTCCAAATAGATAGTAGAAAGCTCCACCAGATTGCACAACTCCGACGGAAAGCTACCGGTAAGCTTGTTCCCAGCCAGACGAAGCGGCCTTAAATTTGCACACTTCTTGACCCCAACGGGGATATTTCCGTAGAGCTGATTAGACTCAAGGTTTAACCAATAAAGTTTAGAATGACGACAAAGATGAGGAGGTATTTTTCCTGTCAAATGGTTCTCTGAAAGTTCAACAAACTCAAGTGAGCTGTAGAGTCCAAGCGGTTGAGGAATAGTACCTCTTAAAAAATTGTTAGAAAGATACAACGCAGACATTGGAGGAAAATATTGAAATCCATAAGGAATTGGACCTGTGATATAATTGAATGAACGATGAAGCACTGTCAAGTTCCTCAAGCTACAAAGCTCGTTTGGTATGACACCAGTAAGTTGGTTCTCGAAGAGGCTCAACATGCGTAGACCCTTTATCCTGCTGAACTCAGTTGGGATCTCACCTGTCAGATAATATCTTGAGAAAGCGATTCTGTTGGAAGAGATAGATTCCCTATCTCCCATGGAATGCTTCCATTCAATCTATTGGCGAAGAGATGAAAATTCTCCAAAAACTTGAGGTTGTTGCACAACTCAGTTGGAATGCCATCCGTCAAATAATTGTTAGAGAAATCAATGTCTGTTGCAGGAGATAAATTCCCAATTTCCTTTGGAATGTTTCCTTTCAATTCGTTGTTGTAGACAAACAACCTCTTCAACACCTTTAGTTTCCCGATCTTCATTGGTATCTGCCCCACAGGACCATTTGCACACAAAGCAAGGGTCTGAAGGTTCGAACAATTTCCAACTTCCTTTGGAATAAACCCTGTTAACTGATTATTGCATAACCATACATCGGTCAAGTTTTTCAGCATTCCGATTTCCTTGGGCAGTTCCCCTCCAATATGGTTAAGGGAAAGGGCAAGCATTTGTAAGCTCTGACATCCACTTATTTCTGCAGGAATTTTACCAGAAATTGCATTGTCACCTGCCCTGACTATTCTCAATGACCGGCGATTCCCAATAGAACGAGGCAATGGTCCAGTCAAATTATTGGTGTATGCCACAAACTCATCAAGTGAAGACAAATTTCTAAGCTCCTCCGGAAGAGAACCAGAGACTTTGTTATTGCATATATTCAAACTTCTCAAACAAGAGAGCTTACCCAATTCGCCAGGGATTGGACCACTGAACTGATTATTTTTCAAATGAAGGAACTCAAGAAGTGAACAATTTCCAATTTCCTTTGGAATATGTCCGAGGAGCTCATTATAAGACAGATCAAGATATGATAAATGGGTCAGGCCACCAATAGTAGGACTCGGGGTTCCAGAAAGATTCATTGAATTCAAATCGACAGACACCACCCGTGGCTCGTAGTCGGAAGTGCAATTGACGCCTATCCACCTGCATGGGGTCTCGTCAGTGGGTTTCCAGTTTCCAAGTTGGTTGAATTCATCGTGAATACTCTTCTTCAACTCTAACAGATATTTTCCCTCAGGATTCAGCGCCTCTGAAACACTAACCACTAATGTCGCAACAAGTAACAACTCCATCAACCTACCTCCAAAGAGTCTACTTGCTTCTTCCGAAATACAATGGTTATAACGCAATGTGCAGATTGAAGTTGATGCTAAAGTTTTAATACATATGATAAAGAATAAGCAGTACCCAATTCACCAGGAATTGGACCACTCAACTGATTATCATTCAATTCAAATAAAGAAAAACCAGAAACCAACTAATTCCAATTTCAAATCTCGAGTGCAATTGGCACCTACCCACCCACATGGTGTCTGATCAGTTGATTTCCAGTTTCCAGGATTCTTCACTTCGTCGTGAAAACTATTCTTGAGCTCAAGCAGGATTGGATTGGCCATCCCCTCCAAACTACATCTTATATGTTCTAAGAACATGCCAACAGTCTGACCAAAGGAGGGCAATAAAATTTATTACTCAAATTTATTGTGGTGCATTTCAAGAAACAAAAAAGGCTGACTATACATATCAATTTAAGGAAGAAGAAGAAAAACTCAAAATGCCCTTAAACATTCAAGGGTAAGGTTAATTTAAAGGATAACCTTTGGAAAGTGAATCTCCAATTGAAAAATGTACTATAATATAGAAGATTATTTTATAAGGTTACATGTTAAAAGTAGAAATTACAATTTCAATAAAGTAATTTTTAATATACATCTCAAATAGTATATCAATTGAAAAAATCAATAGACAATTAAACAAGCGACTAAATCAAATAAAATCAATATAGAATTAGATTATATCCACATATGATGAGATTTGAATTTGAAATGTAAAAATAAAGATACAATTAATGTCACCTAAATTAAAAGAGAAGGAAAAAATCCGGTAAACTTGTGAATGATTTATCTCCTTAATTTAAGAAATTTAACAGTAATAGGTAGGGTTTGGATTAAATGACTCAGGTAATTTTTTTTTTGTTGGAAATATAACTCAAGTTATTAAATTCCAAGCCCAAGAACATGTATAAGAATGTGATGACGCGGTGGAACGCTAACTGAGTCCAAAAGCTTCAACTCGTCGGCTTTGTTTCCAAGCTTTAAGCTTAGCTTGGACCAAGTTGTCTATACACCTCTCGTCATGTGCAAATCAATGGGCTTTTCAACTAGATCCTCTCTATGAACGTCCTGCAAGAATATCAATCACTATTGGGCTGAAAACCCAGAGGTTTACATTACTGGTTCGTTCCTCCCCATTAATCCACTGAACCCAATAAAAGCAAAATGATAAGTTAATTGGAATTAATAAAACTACGATTTTGAAGCATTTGTCTTTGGAACGTATTTTACAGACAATCTCATACTTCAAAAGTATGAACATCAGTGTCCAACTTTAAAGTTGTACTGTGTTTTATAATTTCACAACATAAATAAGAAAGGAAACTCTGAATTTATTCCCAAAAAGATACATAATATATTGATTACATATTTCAAAACAAAGTTACTAGAAGAGTTTATTTTATTTAAAATAAAATATAAAAATTTGATTGAGTATAATAGAAAAATCAAGATTTATATAAATGATTTAAATTTTTTTAAAATATTATATTTTTCACTTATTAACTTTTTTTTTCTCATTCGGGCAAAGCCAGGCTGTCCAAAGCCTCTGGTTGAGCTGGCGGGTTGTTATGTGATGCTTCTCTTGCCTTTTGTTGTTGGTGCGTATCTTCGGCTGATGCTTGGAGTGTTGCTGTCACTTAACGCTGCTGGCCACTCCGTTGCGATTTGAGAAGCTTCATCTTCGAGTCTTGATTCTGAGGATGCTGGTGTTTACCGCTTTTCGAGGGGGAAATTTGCGGCCTTGGTCTTTTCTGCCTGCTTTTTGGGTGTCCTTTTCCTTCTGGCCGGCTAGCTTTGGTTGCTTCCCTCTTGAAGTCTTTTGTTTCTGATTAGTGGCAGAGCTGTTTTTGTGTAGGCTGCCAATTGCTTTTGATTATGAGCAAAATGCTCTGTATTCTGTAACTTTTAGAGTTTTTAGGATCTTTATCTTATAGTGCTACCATTCCTCTTAAGCATAATGGTACAGCTTGAAGAGTCTTTTGCGGTTAAGTTTAAGACTCAAAATGGCATGTTGACGTTGCGATCAATAAAAATCACTTTTCGAAAAAAAAAAAATTTATTAATATTGAAAAATCTATTATCCATAATAGAATTTCTTTTCCCTTAAATATATATCATATTTTAGAGGTTGTTGGTTTTGCAATGTAAAATACAAAAAGCTAATAATATATTTGATGACAAAGTAAAAGAAAAATGGATTCTAGAATTTGAAGCCCCTTGTTTAAAAAGGGATGGATGACAAATGGATCATCTAATCATATCAAGGCTACATAATATGGAACAATATGTGTAAAGGAGAAAAGTAGGAAGAAATAACTTGGGCACTCTACATTTGTTTCGTTCAAATGGACTACAGTGAGAAATGAGCGTGAGCGTCCAGGATGAAGTAAAATTTAGATCAAATTTCCATGAGGTAGCTTTATTTGATGCTACTGATTTCTTCTTGTGAACAGGGTTGTACTGTAGCAGCAAGTTGCTCTTGTTACTGAGGGGATATCAAGGGCACTGGAATCTTCTTCTTATAATTCTTCTATTCAACCATTTTATTGATAAGCTGGTCACATAGAACCAGAAAATTCACTTCAACCACCATGCAAAGGAAAAATCACTTCCCTCCATCTCAAACTTAGGTATGCACTATTTCCATCAAATAACTCATTAAACATGCTATCAGATAATGCATCATAAACTTCAAATCAGCTCCAAATCATCCTAATCCCGGTCCATATCAAAAATCTCATCATTATCTAAAAACTTTTAAGATTTGATTACCAAAAACAAACAAAATCCAACATGCAAAACACATAGTTCCCTACCTCTGGAACCACTGACAAAATATACTAACACAAAGGATAGGTACTTTATTTATGTTCAATTATACATCTATATATGCAATTTTTCTGAGCAAAATTAATCCAAAAAAATTAAAATCTTAAAAAAAAAACCCAAATCTTCAATGCCTAAGAAACTCACACAAAAATACTCTTCAATAATTTGCTTCACTCTACTTTGTATGAGGGCAGCATTTGAACTTGTAGAAGAATGGAATGCTTAATGATAATTGTGATTAATTGAAAAATTGGGGTGATAGAATGAATCAAACTCAAATTAAATCTAAATATAGAACAAAATTATAACAAAATCAAAGCTAACTACATATTATTCTTGAAACTTTGACTATATATAAGGATGAATCTAATTCAAACCAAAGAAAAATGAAATTAAGAAGATTCGACTTCATCTACATCAAGTTTTTCTTCTTCTTTTTTTTGTGTTGTGAAGCGATAGCAGAGTTTCCCGAACCTGACGAACTATCTTAAAAGCACTTTCAACAACAACCAAATCATTTTTGTTGAGATGAACCCGAAGTGTCATGTTTTTATAATATTTATTGATCGTAGCAGTATCAACTACGGAGAAAGAATCTTCGATAAAGAGAATCAAATACAATCATCTAGTATCATCCCTCTTCTTGTTTTGCACCAAAGCAATTTTGTGTGTATTAGATAGGCAGTGACGTGATCTCTAAATTAGGATTAAGTCCAAGGCTAGTTTTGATCAGGCTTGTATTAGCCTATCGCCGGTTTGGAAAGGTGAGCCCACTCTACATGAAATGGTTTGGGTTTGGTGTTTTTTATGCATTTATCCATTTATTTTTCTCTTTATTTATTTTGTTTTTTCTGGTTTATTATTTTATTTTTGGTATTAATAAAATAAAATAAATATCTTTTAACTCATAATTATTCTAGATTGATTTTCATATAGTCATAATTGTTTAGAATAGTAAAAGATGCATAAATAAAAAAAGAAAAATTAGGCTAAAAAACTACAATCATGATGTTTTAAAATTCTCATAAATTAGTTCCACAAGAATATGTATTTATAAAAATTATTCACAAATTAAAATAAGACAAAGTTAATGGTTAAAAATATGATCGAATAATAAATAAAATATATATTGAATATAAGAATTCATAATTATTTAAAAATAAATTTTTTAAACTAAATTTTGAAAGAATGTTACCAGCGGTAATTTCTTCAAATTTTTCAGAGTGAAAATGATTATGGTACCTCATCATAAGTATTGAGAGGTAATCTCAAAACTTATTTTTACAAAAAGGATTTATTTATAAATAATTATCACAAATATAAAATAATAATAAATAAAAAGTTAAAATTTTTAAAAATTAAAATATAAAAGATAAAGAATAATGATAAACAAGGATTTAAAAATTTGTAAATTAAAATAAAGTTGTAATATTCACATGATTATTTTAAATATTTGGAGGCGCTCTGATATGGAATTCTCAAGAAAGTTACAAGTGATAATATCAAAATAATTTCTACTCGAGAAAATTTTACCAATATTAAAAAATATTTGATGATTTTCTATTATAAAGAATTGCCTGAACGGTAATAAGTGGTGACACATGTTATGACAACTCGTACATAAAGGATGTGTGATGGTTAGATGTAGACAAGAAAGTTTGAATTAATTTGAATGGTAAATCATAACAAATAAATTTTTATTTTTTCTTTTCACCGTAACGAACATTATAATTTGAATTTAAAATATATACTCAAAATGCATTTTTATCGTATATTACTTGAATCAAAATTCAATTTGGTGTTACGATTATAATTGATACTTGCAATAAAAAATTATGATTGAAAATAATTATAATCAAAGTATTTATTGTTGTCACTGTTAAGAACCAATTCATTATAATCAAAATTGTATCTTTTTGACATTACATTTGCGATTAAAATTAATAATTACGATCATATATAGATCAAGGGTGATACTAATCAACTCCAAACACCAAGTATAGTATTATAAAAAATGATGTTGATACAAATCTAAATCATTTTGGATTGTAAACATCAATTTATTTAAAAATTATAAAAAAGATACAGATAATAATACTAACAGAAACGATGACAGATGTAAGTATCATCGGGAGTAGTAATGGTGTAGCAAAGTCCATGAGCATCTTGCCCATATTTAATGCTGCAGCCATTGAAGCAATTCGTCTATTGCGCAGCCTCCTCCATGGGCGAGTACATCACAGCTGCCAATAGCATTTGCCATCATTGACTCAGTTTGCCAGTGCCAAATAATTTATGTAGTCTATATATGGTGAAATTTTTATATATATTTAAAAATTTCTAAATCCCTATTTTTGCCTATTGAGAGAAGATACAAATGTAGTTTAAAATATACTCTAAATATCTAAGATGAAAGGCTTTTCATGACTGTACTAGGAGTATTATGAATGAGGATGGTTTGATGGTATGCTGGAGTGGAGTATTTACAGGCAATATCTAGAGAGAAGGAATTTCTAAGTAAACCTTCTTCGGTATTGGAATTTTTTTTTTACCTATTTTTAATTCTAGTGAAACTATTTCCGCAAGGGATGGAAATTAAGGACAGAATTTCCTCGAGATTTTCTTGACCAATGTAAAATCTGCTCAAGGTGCTAACAATATATTTAATATATAGTCAATGGAGGCTTTGGCAAGTAATATCGCAAGTGACAAGATGTCTTTAACCAAAAGCTTCGATTCGTTGGCTTGGACCAAGTTGGTCACGTGCAAATTGATCCTGTCTACAGGAAAATCAATCACTAGGCAACTCCCGGGGGTTTCATTGCAAAAACAGATGAGTGACCTAAAACTGTTGTACAATTGAAAGAGCAGCACCATTTTCAGAAAATCCAATTTCATATCAGAATGTTTGAGATACACTTTTATCTGTACACTGGTGTTACTACATTGTATTGACTGGTGAATCAACTAGAGAATTTTGGGGGACATCAGTTATTCCCATTAGCTATCAACAGATCCTTTCAGTATAACGTTTTCTTTATGGAAAAAAAATGTACATGCTATTATAATCTTGCCGGGTAAAATGATTGCGGAAGAATCAGCAGAAAAAACCATCTGTGTCAATGGAAACTGAGAGTAGTCACACACTTTCATGAGCATTATCCTTCAGAGGAAGCTCATAAGTTGGAGACATTATCAAGTTGTCTTCTTGCTCTTTAGATTCTATAAGCATCATCACAACTTCCCGCATGGATGGCCGATCAACAGGAGACATGCTAGTACATATTAAAGCAATTTTTAAGACAGTAATCATGTGATTGACAATACTTTTATTTTCAAGATTTACGCGATCATCCAGTATGCCAGCAGTCAATGAGTGGTCACGAACATAATGTCTCACATGTGTGACAAGATCACCTCCTTGATCCAATGGCTGTACAGGAGTCTTTCCAGTTAACAACTCCAGCAGAACAACCCCA